AAAGCTCCCGAACAGCATGCGACGATCGTTCTTTGAAGTTTAGTTAGCAAATTTCCCACGCTATTAATTGACAGTCTACTCAACCACACCACAAATCCATAGCTCAGAGGTTTAACTTGAGAGAATTCCTCGCACAAGCAGAACCCACGTCTGACAAGAGGTATGTGTATTTACTTTTTCAGAATGCTTTTAAGGTTTTGGAGGTCTTTTCTTCAACGGGAGACTTCTATAAAAGTCCATCTAGGATTACACCTAAATACTATTCACATCGGAAGAAATCTAAATAGTGACACCTTTAAGGTTGAGAAAACAAGGCCGTCCAAACGTCACTTTCTATTGAAGAGTATAATGCTCGTTGGATTAACGATCGACGATCAAGGGTCAGCTCATTCTCACTTAACTAAGTCTAAAAGCGCTAGCAGTCAACGACGTAGCGTAACCGAACGTTAACGGACGTAGCAACATAGCAAGTTTACTGTTGATAGAGAGAGATAGAAGCAACGACAACGGCACCATAATGCAGAGATGAGGTTTCCTTAACACGCGAATACCATAAGGTACATCGTGTTAGCGTCAGCATACGTTAAACGCTACGTCGTAGACTGCTAGCGTCTTAAATCGTATGCAGGTCTCTTGGCCACATTCCTGCAAGCAATTTAAGGAGAAGAACCTGTAATGAGACTAGGCCTTGGCGTAGATATAAGCATGAGAGAAAGCACGCCACTCTATAAAAACAGCCCCAATTCGAGATGCTTGCGGTACTTCCGCAACGTAGGAGTTATTTGCGGCAGTAATGAATGTGTCTATCTTTGCAAGTTCGTCTGATTCACAGTTTCCTGGTATGTCTCTGTGACGCGATACCTCGCATTAGCCGTATTGACCTCCTTCCACCTTTGTCCTAATAAAATCGATGTACTTTCTAATTAATAAAGGCTGATAAAATCTAAAATCTTAGCGCAAAACTGCATGTTCTTAGCACTTAAAAAAAACTGTGCGCTAGATCTGCTTTCGCTTTATGAACCGCTGCTTGTGTTCAGGTAGAGGAAAATTTTTAAAGCGCTTTTAATTCTGAATTAATCAACAAGGCACCAACAAGTCAATGCGATGTTGTCGCTGCTTTTGGACTTTGTGTTAATTATTTTGTTTTCTTAAAGCTTATGCGTGTTTATTTTCATATACAAATGTATGTATGTATGCATGTACAGTGTAATTTTGCGAATCGCACGAATATGCAGTTTTCTCTAAAGAAATTAATTATATTGTCAGGTTGATACTTAACAACGATAATTGTGTGATAAGATGACACATTCTTATATTGAGGCAGATAAATTCTGATGATCACGTACACAAAAACAAATAGATAGGCAGAACTGCTGGAAGTTCTATCCGGATTTTTTTGATTATTCCAAAAACCCGAATACCTGATTAAAAAATCCGAATACCTCAACCGAAACCGAAAAACAAACTGGGAGCTAACTATTCCGCCTCTGTATAGCGCGGTAAGTGAATAGTTCTACGGCATCAATTACAACCATCCAAACTAGCTTTTGAAGAGGGGTTGCCCACTGAGAACCAAGAAGTCTTCAAGGATGCCCCTCAGGAAATTATAAAAAACCAGGAAATTCTTCAATAGGGCAACGACAAAAGGGAATTGAACTGCATACAAGTCAGCCCGAACCGCTATCAACTGTGAGATCAGAAGATGCAAAAGGGCTGCGTGGCGTGAACACTGTGGAAGCATTTCTTACCTACCAGAAGTCTGAATGTGCTATGCAACGCGAAAAGACCAGATGGTACCTATACTGGCTCCCGGAAGAAACCAGCAAGCTTCTGTGAGATACCCACTTCCAAGGCTCAAATCATATGACGAACACTGTGAGCGCCGTGACTAACAGAAGGACAAGAGGCCTGGCTGGAAGAATCTTCAGTATTAAAAAGTCATCGTGGACCATTTTAACTTTTAGGATCATGTAAATTTCCTCGTCCAGATGGCTGCTACAACATAGCACGCGCCTAATAATGGGCCACTAATCAGGTTACTGAGAGTAAGTATCCTACTTACTCCCACACCGTCAATACGAAGTGAAGTCAAAGCGCTCTTTATACCCAAAGTGAAGAAAATCTCGACACAAATCCCAAAGGCGCATAGACCAATTTGGCTCAGCCCCTTTTTAGTAAAAAAAAAACAAAACAGATTAGTATTATGCATTAGGGATAACTACCTTAAGGATAAGCCTTCATGTGAGAGTCAGCACGCATATCGGGCAGGTAAATCTACTATTAGTTAATGCAATCCACAGCCAAACTCAAGGCATTGAACAGGCATTGCAGTATAAAAATATAGCTTTGTGTGCATACTTGGACATCTGGGATGCTTTTGATAACACGTCTTACGAAGCAATGTCAACTATGATAAGGAAGAAGCCTTCTAACTGGTTGGCTCATGGAACTAGCAGATAGTAAGTAAGCAGTACCTACCACCCGTGGCTGTCCTTAAGGGGGAGTTTTATCGCCTCTACCATGGGTAGTGGTTGTTGATGAACTCCTAGTCATCTGCTTTGTTGGCTGGCATGAGGACAGCATTTGCTCCAGATTTCAAGCTGCGCTCAGATTAATAGAAGACTGGTGTACTGGAAAGGGATAGTCAATATACACACTGAAGCCCACCATTGTCCCATTTACCAATAGAATCAAATTGACTAGCCCCCCTTGGCAGGGACAGAAATTAAGTTCTCAAGAGAGACGCAGTATCTTGGCGTTACTCTGGATAAGCGGTTCAATTGGAGCTCCCCTTTTTCGAATTATATAAGCAAGGTTATAAGGGCGTTTATGCCTATCAAAGCTACATGATAAAATTTGCGCAATATTATCCAATCTAACGTATCTATTAGTCTTTCAACACTGTCGTAAGACTCGTTACTACATATGCAGCACTGGTCTAGTGGCCAAATATTTAGCAAGAAAGCGCGGGTGCCACCTTAAACATACTACAGATTCCCTTGGTGTCAGTACAGACATTCCGCAAGGGTTTGTTCTGATTGTAAAGGAGGCCTGCTGGTGCGCCCTACGGCTGCCCAATGTAGTCGACATAAAAAGTGGCATCTTCGGGTTCACTTGGAGATTCTGACGACATTCCTGGATGATCCAGCTATCAAGCTCACAGATATTATGATACCGAAATTGTCATTCAACAAGCCCTACAAAGTCGGAATTCCTGAAATGGACTACTTTGAAGCGATAGTATCTAGGATTAACGAATAGTCCCAAGTATGGTATACCGACGAAAATGTGTTCGAGAATGTTTTCGTATAATAACAAATGGGCGAAAGAATTATTATGTCGGATAGTCAGACAGTATTAAATGCCTTGGGCCCATTTGCCTAAGAATTGATCTGCAACTGTTAAGCTATAAATGTATATATCACTTCCGAAAAGCTCTTTAAAAAAGCAATAGTCAACTCCGTAAAAGTTCGCCAACTTAAGAGAGGGTGCTGTTATGACTCCTGCCCATCATCGCGGCGCAGATCCGGTGAAATATTTAGTCCTGTCCTATAAAAACATAGAGATTTAGAGCTTTGTAAGCCTAGAAAGATCCCTGGCGCGAGCTCGATCCACCCTAATGCAGGAAAACTTTGCCGTTACCTGAGCTCCGCCCAGCTCTCGCTGAGCTAACTTGAGTTCCAACTGTGGGAGTGTAGTACATAGGTTAGTTAAAGGTACTTCTTTTTCATATCTCAATGAAATCTTCGAACCAGCTTATGCAGCATGCGGTTTTTTGCAATATCATTTTGGCATGGTATCCACAAATATTAATGTAACCAAGAAATAATCACAAATACACGAAAGAGAGGTCAGGCATTTATTGTCTAACTTTGAGAACGGCGAAGAAAAGAGTGTATCTCTCGACCGACCCTTACATCAAGTTCCGACACGTTTGCGAAAAAGTTCAACTCTGCTTGTTTCCAACAACTGACTGCCCTTTAGAGAAGTTGAGAGTAGGAGAAAGCAGCTTGACGACAGTCTAAATGTTAATGATCAATGTTATTTTAGTACCCAGGTCCTTAGTCAATTAAGCACCCAGTATCCTTTAGTCTGTCTGCAGCCCTTGCCACAGCATCCCTAAGTTCGCCACTGATCCCTCCAGCTTTTTGACTGGCGTGATCTTGTCCAGCGCATTACACCATACGTGGACCGCAATCGCATATTATAGGCGACAGTCCATATCTCTTACCAATTTTTGCCTGCACCAAAATTGAGTCTCTGATATTTTCTTTACTCTTTCCTGAATTTAGACTTCCACTACAAATTCCTAACTAAAAGCAAGCCCAAGAAGTTAAGTCGATCTGAGGGAAAAATCGCATGTGCGGTATCTTATATTTCCTATTGAACCAGACGAGTTTACAGGAACCACTTAGTCACTTCATTCAAGTAACCCTCGATCAAGAGTACCGCAGCTACTTTACCGAGCTATCGACGGGTACGAGACATAAAGGAACAATGAGTGAGCTGTCCGAAGTACAGCTTCGTTACAAACGCAGTACTCTCTCGCGTTTTTTCACAAGCCATGTGAAGCCACAATTGTGAAACGTGGGGTAACGTGGCGTCACGTGACATAAATTTCCATCGCTATATTTTTGTTAATATTGCTTTTAAATGAATTTTAACACAAATAAAACATGCATTTTATGTCGAATATACTTTATATTTTGATCTCAGCGCCAATTCAGGGTCACTTTTTTGAGAATCTATGATTTATTATGTTTCAACTACTTACGCCAAATTGGAATCAAATCGGACCATAAAGCCAGTTTTTTTTTAATTTCTCGACCCTGGGGCCACCTACCAAGCCCATTTTACGTAAACATTTTTCTGCTTGCATAACCATATAAACGTTTCATTTTTTCACGGTAGACCTTCCGATGCAAACACCCATATGTACTTAACTATACTTCAAAATACACAATTCCCATAACTCATTCTATTCTCCATCTTCATTTCAGATCGATGACATTCTACTTACACTTAGCTTGAGCGAACACCGCAATACTCTAACACGCAATCTGTCTGGCGGCCAAAAGAAACGTCTCTCCATCGCTCTGGAACTTGTCAGCAATCCACCGATTATGTTCTTCGATGAGCCTACTTCTGGGCTGGACAGCTCCACTTGCTTCCAATGCATACACTTGCTCAAGATGTTGGCCGCTGGCGGACGCACCATCATTTGTACCATCCATCAACCGTCGGCACGTCTCTTCGAAATGTTCGATCAACTGTATACGCTATCCGATGGCCAGTGTGTCTATCAGGGTAGCACCAAGCAGTTGGTGCCATTCCTCTCGACGCTCGGCTTGGAATGCCCCAGTTACCACAATCCGGCGAGTTATGTTATCGAGGTGGCCTGTGGCGAACATGGCGATCACACGCGCAAACTGGTCGATGCCATTGACAATGGCAAGAAGGATATTCGCACTGTTGCTGATTACGAGGGACTAAAACTGCGAAATGATTTGGTAAAAGTACACAATTTAAAGACAATGTTGGATAAGAACGCCACGACGAATACGGCGAGTGGAGGTAAATATGAGGAGAATCTAACGCTCAGCAATGGAATTTTAAATGGCAATCTGGTGAATGATATCGTGAAGAATTCGAATGTATCGGCGGCTGCAGCGTCTTCAAGTACTGTTGCAGTGCCAGTCGTGAGCACAAATGAGAAGGGTGATGCGATAGTTGATGTTGAAAAGGCGGATAATTGTACAACGGCACTATTGTCAGAGGAGATTACTTCGCCGGAACGTTATCCCACATCGCAATTCCATCAGTTCTGGGTTGTGTTACGGCGTACGTTGCTCTTCAGCTATCGCGATTGGGTGAGTGTACACGCGTGAGATTGCATACTTTTAGGCGTACAATAATGTTTGACGTATTTGTTTCAGACTCTTATGTACTTGCGTTTATTTGCTCATTTGTTGGTTGGCTTTCTTATCGGCGCACTCTACTATGACATTGGCAATGATGGCGCTAAAGTTTTGAGCAATCTGGGTTTCCTGTTCTTCAATATGTTGTTCTTGATGTACACTTCGATGACCATAACGATTCTGTCATGTAAGTATAGCACTATTGTTTGCAAGCCCCAATTTTTCATTCACTTTGGGTTTTAAATGGTTTTAATGTTAAATATCTTTGGCCTCGGAAAAGGAAATTTTTACTTCGATATTAGGATTACAATATTCGTTAGACTTTTTCGACGTACATAGCTAGAGCAGGAAGAGAGGTTTTAGCTAAGTTTCCTTACGAGGGAAAGTAAAGTGTTGGTTGGTCTCGTGTGCGGCATCTTAACAAGTCTGCTAAAATATTTGAACCTTAATTGTGAGACAGTTACGCCGATCCCTCGCAGTAGCTAAAACCCTTCGCCTGCGCCTCTTTATGTGTCGTTTACAGCTTGTTGGTCCAGCGTTAAGACAAACTCCCTCCAGTGGCTGACTGAGCTTCGAGTTGTAGAAGTTAAACAGTAGCGGGGAAAGTGGCGTCCTATCGAGGGACCCTATTATGTCCGATTCATATAGGCTCCGGTGGTTCATCTCAAAAAAATACCAACTGTCGACCCTCAGACAATTCGAAATGGCAAGCGCGGTCTAACAAGTCAAGTTTGACAAGTCTAAATGTACCAGGACAGTTTTTTCAGAGGGCGGTTACGGCTAAGTCCGCGAGTTATTTATGGCACAAATATTGTGGTGGTGCGATGCCCTTTACGAAAGCAATGTGGGTGGGGAGCGGGGTTCAGGTTGCACATGTAGTACGAGAGTAGCAAGGCGTCAAGTGACTTCACAACCAGAGAAAGGAGATTAGGCGATGTATAGGACTCCGCTTTATTGTCTAGAGTCACTGGTTTAGTAGTGGGACCACTCCCAGATTTCAACATGTCAGGACAGGCTGAGGATCTTACTACCGTACTCTAATCCCGACGAACACAAATGTTTTATCTTCAACATGCATATACCGTCATGAGCAATGACTTCGGAAGATCTTGTCTTTCCGGGGGCCACTTGAACTTCATTGCTAATGAAAATAAGAGGCGCTCTAGGTTCTGTCACTCGACGTTTGCCCTTATACACCAAAAAATTCAAAGTGAACTTCCGGCTAAAATATCGCACACATTTATTTGGGCCCGGCGAAGTGTTAGCTATCACTGAATGTGATTTTCATCCTATCCCCGCGCTACGTGGGCTTTAAGTGTTCTTCCTACTTTTTCCGCTTATGTTGATTTACCAGTTTCCGAATCTCTAAATTGGCAGACCACTTTGCGAAGCTCTACATCTCGATTGGATTGGTGAAAACGGCGATTCGACTGGTGGATTGGGAAAGCAAATTAGCCAGGTCTATTAATTGAAATTAGTATGGGAAGATGATCTGCTGTAGGTGACATAGGTTGCCACGTTATGCTATTTATTAGACTCACTATTGTTAGGTAAGCTGAGCTGCTGGAACAGCCCCTAATCCCGGTGGGAGCGTCGGCGTTCTTGTTGCAGAATGTCAGATCGTCTATCTGATCTGCGAATTAAAGTCCCCTACAATCTTTTGTCAAGCTTGTGTGACAAAATTCATGGTGTTTGTGTTAAATTCACCTTCTATTTAACATCTGGCTTTCTCCTCTGATGGGCGCACCTTTTTATGTCAGGGTGACATAGTAACGGCCAGCAAATGTAAGGGGTTTGAACTTGACACCGCCGAACCGGAAAACTATGCACTGACATTTTAGGGTGGTATCCTTTCGGTCGATGTCTAGTGTATACCGTGTCGGCCCATTGAGACGGCCATCTGTTCGATCTTGCTGAAGAGTGCGTTGCAGTTAAATTGTAAGAATTTAGTGTATCTTGGGAGTCTGGCCACTATACTGCAGGCTGGTGATAGGTCCTGTTGTGCATGTCGCTGTTTGTGTTCCTGCCTTGTAGTAGTGGTTGGCTGCATCGATGGTGTCCACGAGGGCGGCTGTCCACCCTGATCATCCTCGAGTTGTGGACAACGGGTAGGATCATTCGCCTCTTTAAGCCAGGGAAGAAGGCGTGCGCAGGAAGCTCTTGCCGGCCAGTCTCCCTCCTATCCCCTGTGGAAAAGACAAAGGAAGCACTATACTCCTCCTTAGCCTAACGAAGCTTCTGAAACTAGTCGAACACCAACATGGATTCCGCAAAATGCATAGCACGACCACAGCATTAAATGCCATCATAATATAGATAAGCGCGGGTCTGGACCAACGTCGACCCAGTGATAGGACGTTCCTAGTCGCGGTTGACCTGTGGGAGGCATTCGGCACGATCCTTTGCCAAGACATCCTGGACTCGTGGCTTCAGATCGGTGTGGACACCAATCATCGGTCGAATTCCGAAACGCCAAGTCCAAGCCTCGTAGAATTAAGCAGGGGGTTTCCCAGAACGGCGACAATGCTTAATCTCTACATGGCAAAACTCCCTCCGCCGCCAGCTGGAATCAACTGGGTGAGCTACGCCGATGATTACACGATTATGGCAACGGGACCTAATATCGACAGCCTTGCAGGAAAATCACTGCTAATCTAACCGATCTTTCAAACTTCTTCACTGCCAGGAGGCTCGTCAACTCCGCCGCAAAAGTCGGGGGAGTCTATCTGCTGCTCATGTGAGCTCCTTGAATCCGATTGGGCTCATTGCCCGCTTGCTAGTGCCGGTGAGTTGTACGCGTTGGAAGCCGTGATGACAGGAGGAAATTAACTTGATCAAAAATGCGGTGCGGAACAACCCTGCCAGCTAGCCTTGCTGTAGGGATCAACCACGTATAATAGCGTTCGTTAATCTAAACAGGGTTACACAGCCGAAATACCACATCTTGGTTAAGGAAAACACGGCCAATTCCTATACTTAAAACCGACTAAAAGTGTGAATAAAATCACTTTGTGCCCATTCAGATATTTCTTCTTTAAATGTTCGTTATTAGTTTTAATATCAGGAAGTTCTGCGCCTTATTTGAATAGTATAAGATAAACCGATGTTAAAGCCGCTAGTTAGACTTAAGAGGCAAATATCGTTCTAAATAATTATCTACAAACCATATATCACATACTTAAGCTTGTCTAGCCAAAAAGCCAAATGTATTCCACATCCAAGCTTTGGGGGTGCTGAGCTCACTCGCTCTTCTATTTCATTAGTTTTACATTTTTCATCTAATCAATTTCATTATTCCCCCGCAGTCCCTCTTGAGATGCCGGTGTTGCTTAAAGAGAACTTTAATCGTTGGTACTCGCTCAAATCCTACTATCTGGCCATTTCGGTTGCTGATCTTCCCTTTCAAGTAAGTGTTGCGTCTCTGAAAAAATATGCACCCTCCAAAAAGTAAATTCCATCCTTTTTTTTCTCTTATTTACAGGCAATATTTTGCGTCGTCTACGTGAGCATCGTCTATTATTTCACCTCCCAACCATGGGAACTCTTCCGATATGCAATGTTCTTAGCCGCTTGCTTGATGATCGCATTCGTTGCTCAATCGGTGGGTCTGGTTGTTGGTGCAGCCATGAATGTGCAGAATGGTGTGTTCTTGGCGCCCGTCATGTCTGTGCCATTCCTGCTCTTCTCCGGCTTCTTCGTTTCCTTCGATGCGATACCCATTTATCTGCGCTGGATTACCTATCTGTCGTATATCCGCTATGGTTTCGAGGGCACCGCTTTGGCCACTTATGGTTACAGCCGCGAGAAACTAAAGTGCTTCCAGACCTACTGTCACTTCAAGTCGCCACTTACCACGCTGGAGGAATTGGATATGGTCGATGCTAACTTCACACTCGATATTGTTGCACTAGTCGTTATCTTTGTGGTTTTGCGAATTTCCGCATATCTCTTCTTGCGCTGGAAGCTGAGAACGGCACGATAAGTGTGGAAAAGCGGATTGGATTACGCTTTAAATTATTTTTTTTTGTTTTTCTACGATGCCTTTATGATTTCTTGTGCTTAGATCGTATTTAAGTATTGAGAGTTCTTTGGCTAGATGTTTTTTCTATACACACACACACACTATTTTACTAGGTGATAATAACTATATGTATATGTATGTAAACGAAAAGTGATGTATAAATTTTGATAAGCATAAATTTAGGTTAAATTTACTAGCTGTGTGGAATGTGGGTTAAAAGATTATAAATAATTGACAAAAAAAATATATATCTAAATAAACAACAGCAGACACGCATATTGTGGAGGTGCATAAATTCAAACAAAAAAATAAAATATTTATGCTCACCCAAAGCCAATTTTTACAAAATATTGGGCACGTTCAGAAGGCGCAACGGCTCAGAAACTGTTGCGATTGCACCTACTGAACGCGTTGTTGTGTACTTCTGATCAACTTGTTGCGTGTTATATGATCGTTATATTTTTCTGATCATTTGAGACAACATGTTGGTGTGTACCTTTGAGAATTGAATTTGACAGCTAATGTATCAAGCCGTTCAGAAGGCGCATAACGATCACTGATTTTACTAGCAACGGTTGGGCTCAAATGCTGCGCCTTCTGAACCTACCCATTGAAAGCAAAATTATGAACAAATGTTAGGCATAAACAATGTATAACATATATCATTAAAATAAGCATTGAATACTTTGTATATATATACATGTTTAGAAAATTTATAAATTATAAAATTTTTTTTTTATCAAATTGCGAATCAGAGCTAAAATCACAAACAAAATGTAACTGCAAATATAAGTAATGTAAACAAAAAAAAAACAAAAACAAAAAACAACAACTTAAATGGCTGCTTTTGTAAGCTTAACGGAATTGCAATTATATAACTTTTTATTGATGTGCTGAATATGTAAGTTTTTGGAGACATTTTTTATGTAATTTTTTTAAATATTTACTGTTAACGACAAATACATACATACATACATGTATACACCAACAACTTAAAAGATATACGACATATTAATTCCAAAAAAATAAAAAAATTAAACCAATAATTGGTAGTTCTGCATAAAGTTCTATCTTGATGAAGAACTGACAGAAAGTAAATCAAAATCTATTGCCAGTTCAGTTTACGAAGTATTCCACTGCGTACTTTTTTATAAATGGTGTTTTTTATTGACATATTTAATCATAAATGTTAAGTGTATTTATAGGAACTAAAAAGCTTTACAAGCAATTTAAAATACATACATACATCTGTGGAATTTTTGTGTAGTCCGAGTATTGTTTAATAAACGAAAATAAATCTATTTTGTGGAAACAAACATGAAGAGAGTCGTTTTTATTTACAAAAAAAAAAATCGATCAATAATATGGACGCTCAAAATAGTGCAGCAAAAGTTCATTTTCAGCGCAGATGCCTGCAAAAATAAGCATAAGTACTGTTAAGTAAAAGACTCCAACGATGTCCTCTAGAAATCACACGTTTA